AGAGAGTGGATTCGATGGAACAAAACTGAGGGTGTAATTTCAAAAAAATCTTGAGCGGTTTTCATCGGTCATATTGACATCACCACGAGACGGAATTGAGTACGGTGAGTATTGAGTGGTTTTCATCGTGGTTTTCATCGGGTCATTCCATCACCATTCAACATCAACCAGCCCAGTCGTGTCCAACGCTGTGCCCGGGAGTGAGAAAATGACCTCCTCCCGGCCTGGCGCCTTCCTGTGCCGTTCCGTTCCGGGAAAAGGCGGAAACCCAGGAGCTGAGCTCTGATCATGGCAGGGTCTGAGTGGGTGGCTGGAGATTGGCTGCAACAACAGGTCACTCAGGTTGAGCGAAAAGTAGATCCACTAAACATGAACATTTCCAAGACGTCTCAAAACTGATCTCTTTCAGCCCTCCCCGGCGCCTTCCGAGGTGCTCGCCGAGGTGGTTTAGGTCATCCTGCTCCAATGGCTCAGTAGCACAGAAGAGGTTCTTCCGGTGAGTTTGGACAGAATGTGCCACCAGATGTGATTCCGGTCACTTGAGACACCAATAGACTGACCAATGTTCTTTTGTTGAAGTAGTCGCTTGGAGATGTTTGAAAGACCACGACAGAAGTCTAGCTTGGAAGCCATGTATGCATACTGATGAACCTATGCCTCTAACTATTGCTCTCGTTCACTTGCGATCACAGACAGTGCCCGACGTGCCACGCGCCATTTTCTTGCGCGCTCCGAGCAACATGCCACTGGGGCCGTTGCCCGACATCCGGGCGACCTCCTTGCCGGAACACATCAGCCAGGAGGTGAAAGGCTTAGCAAACGGGGACCTTATAATATCATATATAATTCCTTAGACTGTCCATGCAACTAAGCGGTAAAGCAGCATGTGTAAGGTTCCAAAAGGATAGAAACAGTGGATCCAACCAACATCCAGGATGCGTAGGCATAGTTATATAGTAGCAGTAGAGGGCTTTGGTAGACTTAATCAATGCTACTAAGCATCATAGTGTTTTCTTCCGCCCACTGGAGTGGTGAAATGAGGGCTTCCCAGTGTTCGACATTTGTCTTTAGCAGACTTTTTGCTTTCTGCAATCTCACATGTCATTTGCTCTATGTTTCTTGGTGACATGATTTGAAACAGTGTAACTAATTCATTGTTTGTTCTGTGTGGCTGGAGTGGCAAGCTTTCCAATGCCGAAAAGACTGGTTGTCAGGCAACCTGTCCAGTTCTGACTGCATGCTGCAGTAGTTTATATATCCCGATGTCCAGTGCTGCCAGCTCAGAACGTGGACATGTAAAGCCAAGGATGTTTTCTTACTGTTGGCCTTTTACCACAAACGGTTTGGTTTCCAGATGTTTCCAGGCTTCCGTGACCTTGGGGATTTCAGAAACCGGTGCAGGAGTGGGAGAAGTCCTTCAAGGGGTCTTTGAAAGGCGCCGAACGGGGACGGCATACACATTTTGTACTTCTCATCTTTGGTGAAAGCTTTAGGTTCTTCAAGTAAACTGAATACTGCCAGTGCACTTCAACCGTTCGGGTACCCGGGAAAAACACCTCGCATGTTGTGTCACAAAGCAGAGAACAATGATGAAAAAGAGGTATTCTGTCGTTATGAAGACTCTTGAATCCTGGAGGATTCCATTATTAAGAGAAATGTCGGTACTCTTCATGAAGACTCTTTCCGTCAGGCGACCGTCCTGCCTTCCCGGATTGCAGCGGCGCACCAGGCATTTGGTTCTTAGAACTGAGCTGTGGTGCAAGAAAACAGGTTGAACTTGCAACAACAAAACATACATTACATGAAACACCGTATTTTCTACTTGCGACTGCTGCTCCTACTAGTGCTTCTATTACAGTTACTGTATCACTAATTACTACTACCACTTAAAACTACTTAACTTTTAAAGCTACTTACTACTGCTAGTATTACTACTGCTAGTGCTACTACTACCACCACTACTACCACCATGACGACTGCTACTACTACTACTACTACTACTACTACTACTACTACTACTACTACT